GTCACAGAGTTGTGAAGGCACTCTGTTTCCTCTTTGGTGACAGAAGAAAGCAAGCAAGCAAGCAAGCATGGGAGGTTCTGCAGCTTCTCTGAGGGTGTCATGACCTCCACGATGCTGTCCTGTGAGTTTTAGCAACTCAGCTGCCACTGTTTGGAAGACGCTGAACACTGCACAGCCATGCGCCAAATGTCCTGTCTCTTAGGAAGAAGTCACTGAGCTGAGCCAGGAACCAAACCCTGCGTGGTTCCCCTTTCTTAACCCTACTCTTGAAGATCATATCCTCTGAGTATCTCAACAGAGTGAAGGAAACCCACACAGTGGGAAACTGTATTTCCCAGAATGGTATAGCTCTGGCCAGTGCAGGTCCCTGACGCACACATGCAACTGCAGTTACATGCATGTAGAGCCTTGTACAGGAGAAATGCAAACAGGTCACATGTACAGGGTGTCTGCAATGTGTCAGATGGTCTATCACTGAATTAACATACAGCATCAGATTAAATTCCTACATGTCTTAGTTAGGGTTTCTATTGCTGGGAAGAGACACCATGATCATGGCAACTCTTATAAAGTAAAACTTTTAATGAGGTCCGTTATCATAGTGGACATTGTGGCGCGCAGGCAGACAGTGCTGGAGAGGGAGCTGAGAATTCTGCATATTAACCCAAAGGCAACAGGAAGTGAACTGAGATACTTACTTATCGGGTGCCTTGAGTACCAGCCTCAGTACCCACTCAGGGCTCAGAATTTGATGTCCATGGCAGGCGAGGATCTGAGGGTAAAAAAATAACTCAAGTACATTACCTCTGTGTCTTCTTTATTTTTTGTGCAAGGAGAGAATTGAAGTGAAGGGGGCACAGAGGAGAGAAAGAATAAGAAGAGTAAGGGATAGAAAAAGGAGAAAAATGGAGAGTAAGGGGAAGAAGTAGAAGTAGCGAGAAGAGTGAGGTTTCTAGTTTTTACAGACATAGCTGGAAAATTCTGCAGGCAAGGACAATGATAATATACATATCAAAATCACAAAAGGGGGCAGATAGAACCTGACAAAGCTGTACTCCAGAACAGGTAACCCGACCCAGGAAAGAGCCAGCATTCAAGGGGAAGTATCTGCCATTCCAAACCATTAGATAAAGTTACTAAACAGCCCTGAATCCTGGATTCATTCATTCTCCTCATCAAATCTCTCTTGATAACCAGTTTTGGGGATTCCCAGGCTTGTTTGTTAGCAAAGGTGGGGCATGCTGCCCTCCTGCTCAGTGCCTGTCTTCTATAGAAATTTCTATGTGGTCTGTTAGTGGGTAATGTTGTGGGACTGACTCTATGTAAACTTGACTCTTAGACAAAGAATGAATGGTATCACTCTAAGGCCTCGTGGTGTGGGGGGAATGGAGCCTTTGCTCATGCAGAAGTCACACTGCTGAGGTGTTCTGGGAACAAATCCCATTTCAAAAGGAAGAATCATGGCTTCACAAGGTTTCTACAGCTATGACAGTGACTTCTCCACAAGACAAGTGCTCCTGCAGCTCTGCAAAATGGGTTGCTCCGTGTGGACGTGTGCATACACACTTCCTGTGGATCTGCTGATTGGTCTGGCAGCTGTGCATTCACTGTAGAGTCTTGTGGGCCCGAACAGATACTGGGTGTGGCTTGAGCAGAGAAGAGACCTCAAAGCCCGCCCCCACAGTGACACACTTCCTCCAAAAAGGCCACACCTACTCCAACAAAGCCACATCTGCTAGTAGCGCCATTCCCTGAGCTTATGGGGGTCAATTACATTCAAACTACCACATACAATACATTTTTAATTTTTTAGATTTATGTATGTGCATGAACATTTTGACTACATGTATAGGTGTGCACCACATGAGTTCCTGGTGCCTGCAGAGGTCAGAACATGAATTCCCTGATGATTGGGAGCCACCATGTGGGTGTAAACACTTCAAAATTCAAAAGGAATAAATTCTATAGTTTTAAACACTTTGAATTTTATTATATTTTTATTTCATTCTCAACTCACTTGAGAATATATTGAACTCAGTAAATATATTGAAATTTCATATGCTTGGTGGTGAATGAGAATAAATTCAAACACAAGGAATGTCATTTATATAGCAGTCAGGGATTTTTCTGTCTTTTTCTTTGCTTTGTTTTCTGCTTTTATAAATGAAGAACTGCGTAGAGGAAGATACATCTCCAAATACTTAACTTTGGGGTGGTTTGAAAAGATTTCTCTCCAGTAGATAACACTTGAACTAAAAGACTTTTCAGAATTAAGACAGGTAAAATTTTAAAAAAATCAAAATTGAGACTTTATTTGATTTTTTTCAAGACAGGGTTTTTCTGTGTAGCTTTGGTACCTGGAACTAGCTCTTGTAGACCAGGCCTCTAATCCACAGAGCTTTGTCTGCCTCTGCCTCTTGAGTGCTGGGATTAAAGGCGTGTGCCACCACCGTCCAGCGAGACCTTTTTTTTTAAACCAGCGATAAAAGGCATCCCAAGCACACCAAACCATTGTTCAGGGATGCTGAGAACTCCTTAGTATAAAAGCAAAGTATATTGTGTATATTTTTAGGTGCTCTACCAGTCCATAGTAGACATTCTTTTTAAAGCCAGTATATAGCACTTGGGTGTAGTGCAGAGGCGGGGGGCCTAGAAACAGGAGCACTATTGAATCAGTGTAATGGAGGATGGGGAGGGCAAAAAGGAGAGCAAGTGAGGAGAAGGAAGAGTGGGGGTGCATCAAGATTGGCTAGTACCACTGTACAGTGGATTGCCCTTTCGTTCCTCCCACATCCTGGAAGTCACGATGGACTTCAGCTTCTTCAGCAGGTTATCAACCAACCATCCTAGCTTCGTGGCAGTCCTGATACCCTTCACTCCCACAGAGAACCTGCACTAGCCCGTATCTGACAGCTACTCATGATTCTCTCCTTCCTCCAGTCCTGTCAAGATCTCCATAGATCCAAGCCATCCAGAGGAGAGCTGGCAGAGGACTCTTGATAACGTCCTTGTTTTTTTTTGGGGGGGGGGGTGGAGCGCACATGCACACACAACAGAATAATGGAAATTAGATATGGAAAAGATAAGAGAAAAAATTCTTGATAACCTACAGTGATAGTTTGAATGCAATTGGCCCCCAAAATCCCATAATCTCATAGGGAATGACACTCTAAGGAGGTGTGGCTTTGTTAAAGTAGGTGTAGCCTTATTGGAGGGAAGTGTGTCACAGAGGGGGCAGGCTTTGAAGTCTCATATACTCAGGATAACATCCAAAGTGTAGTTGGTTTCACATTGCCTGCAAGATGTAGAACTCTCAGCTCCAGCACCATCTCTGCCTGAATACCATCATGCTCCCACCATGATGGGCTGAACCTCTGAACTGTGAGTGAGTCCCTCAATTAAATGTTTCCTTTGTAAGAGTTGCCGTGGTCATGGTGTCTCTTTACAGCAATGGTAAACCCTAACCAAGACCCCACTTATCTCAGTATTTCCTCTGTAAGTGATCAAAGGTGTATGTATAAACTATGCTCTCATAATATCACTATCAAAATCTCCAATGCTACAGATTCTTGCTATCAGCTAACATTTTAAATTTTTCAATATTTTTAGCATTTTTGGCTATTTTCACTTTAATTTGTGTCTTTATAGAGTTATCTAGCCATATCTCAAGTTTAGCATGGCCACCTAGTATACAACCGGCCCTTCTGACGGTCTACCTCAGACCTGGTTCCTGGTGACCAGTTCCTACTGACACTGTTACTAATAGCCAGCTTCCCCTTTAAACAGATTAGTCTGTATGTAAAATTAAAAAAGATTGTTCTTTAAAAATAGATTGGTCAGTATATTTGATCTAGTCTATTTCTTTACTCTCCAAATTAGACACCTATTTTTACTGCAGTCTTTTTTCTGAAACTCTTTTGGCAGGAAAAGAAAAATCTGGGTGGGAGCTAAATTCAAAGATCACCTGTTCTTCCTGTTCTGCTTCCAAGCAGAGCTCCCGAATCCCACAAATCTGAAGGATTTGTTCAGAATAAAGGGGAAACCTCAGTGGCAACCTGTGTGACTTGAGCTACTTTTAATAAAAACTAGGGAAAATGAGCAGGGTGGTGGTGGCGCAGGCCTTTATTTCCCAGCACTCGGGAGGTAGCTGTGAGTTCGAGGTCAGTCTGGTCTACAGAGTGAGTTCCAGGACTACACAGAGAAAACCTGTCTCCCCTGCACCTCCACCCCCAAACGAAAACTTAATTCCCATCTCTGGTTTTCCAAACGGTGACGATATAGACGGCAGGTTTGGAATCTGGAAGTGAAAATAATTAGTTACGAGAGAAGCATAAACGCTGAGCGGAAACGCTCGAACAGTTGGAAATAGGTCCAGAACGAATCTGAGTGGGACTTTGGAGACCAAACTAAAGATCTATCCAGAGGGGACACGAGAGCCACACCAGATGCTACCCAGAAGATTGACTACCTGTATTTGGAGAACTCTCCCATCCTCCTGGGTCCTAGAGGGAACAATACTACAGCTAAGACAACTGAAACCCTCAACAGCCTCTTGAAAATGCTGGAAACGTGAAGAAAAACAATGGTCACTTCAGTCACAGTAGCCGAGCCAAGTACTTACTCAGCCCATTCTAACCCTACCAGGTGGGCACTGGTTAAAACCAGTTAAAACAGCCCCATTCCGTGCATAAACAAGGCGCGGAGGACGCGTAACTCGGGGAGGGAAGAGAGGCAGACGTTAGAAACATTTAGGGGTAACTATTACATTAGCATTCGATGGTGAGGATAAAGACGGAGGTAGCTTTATTCGTCCACCACGCACGCCTCATTAGCAGGTTTGAAGTCTACCGGACAAAAGTGACCGAGATGACTGAGCAGCAGGACGCAAACTCTTGCGGATAGGCAGGTTCCCACATCAGCCCGTCCCTTTCCGGATTCCCCAGCAAACCCCGCCCCGAGGCGGGGCTATGTGGTCACGTGATCCGGCGGCCGAAGGTGCGCGCTTCCGGGTTGGGGTTCGCGGCGTCTGCAGGAGCTGAGTGAGAGCCAGCGCGCAGCGGCGGTGGGGGCGGGGGAGCGGCGACGTTCCCTGCCAGCCGGGTCCCCTCTAGGTGGCCGGGTGGGCTGGCCGCGGCAGGACCCCGCTTGGCCCCGACAGGTATGTCCGCCGCCGGTGGGTTGGGTCCAGGGAGCCTTGCGCCTTGGAGCGCTCGCGGGACCCAGGCCCCGGGCCTGGAACGCTGTTCCGAGCGGCGCTGCCCTGCGCGGGGCCTCTTGACGCGGGCGGGATTTCACCGCCCATCTCACTTGCGTGCGTTCATTTTTATCTTTCTCATATTGGTTCTCACAGACCAAACAGCTAATCACGTGTGGGATTGAGGCAGCATAGCCCCAACTCCAACATTGTGCAGCCACACTTTTTTTGGTTTTTCGAGACAAGGTTTCTACGTGTAGCTTTGGAGCCTGTCCTAGTACTTGCTCTGTAGACCACGCTGGCTCGAACTCACAGAGATCCACCCACCTCTGCCTCCCTAGTGCTAAGATTAAAGGCGTTCACCACCACCACCCGGCTCACACTTACAAAGTTTAAATACCAAGTGAATGCAAGGGAAGGCTATACAGATGTTTGATCTCGTTCTGTAATTTCCAGAGGAAATTCCAGACCATAAGAGGTTATGTGGATGGATATTGAAGAGGCAAATGTAGCCACAACAGGGTGAGAACCCAAGGCTGGGTTTCTAAGTAGACTTCAAAGGTGATAATGACAATGATGGTTCGTGTCAACTGAAACATGAACACAGCCTTGTTAGACAATATTTCCTCCTAAATAAACCTTGTTTTCTTATTTCAGATTTAAGCCTCTTCAGCGTCTGGAGAAGATGGCAGAGACAACACCGGAGTCTTCTGCTCAGCTTGTGCACTCAGACACGCACAGTGACACCGTCCTGGCTAGCCTCGAGGACCAGAGGAAGAGAGGCTTTCTTTGTGATATTACTTTAATCGTGGAGAATGTGCATTTCCGAGCCCACAAAGCCTTACTCGCTGCCAGTAGCGAGTATTTCTCGATGATGTTTGCGGAAGAGGGCGAGATTGGCCAGTCTATCTATATGTTGGAAGGCATGGTTGCAGACACCTTTGGTATTCTGCTGGAATTTATCTACACAGGCTATCTACATGCCAGTGAGAAAACTACAGAGCAGATCCTGGCCACTGCTCAATTCCTGAAAGTCTACGATCTGATAAAGGCGTACACAGACTTCCAGACGCACCATAGCTCCCCAAAGCCACCGGCTCTGAACACTGGTACCCCAGTCGTCGTTATTTCTAATAAGAAGAATGATCCTTTAAAACGAAAACGGGGAAGACCGAGAAAAGGCCGTAGCGTGCAGGAGGGGAAATCAGAACTAGCTGCAGAGGAGGAGATGCAGCTAAGAGTGAACAATTCGGTTCAGAACAGACAAAACTCTGTGGCTAGAGAAGGGGACGGTGTGGAACCGAGTGAACAGATGCCAAAAGAAAAGAACTTGGAGCCTGCAGGTGAGCCAGGGAGAGTGGAGGAGCTGCCTGCCGAAAAGGATGAGAACTGTGACCCCAAGGCTCGGGATGGACAGGATAGCCTGAGTAGGTACAGCAAGCGGAGGATCCGGAGGTCTGTCAAGCTTAAAGACTACAAACTCATTGGAGATGAAGACGACCAGGCTTCAGCCAAGAGGCTGTGTGGAAGAAAAAAGCGCGCCAATGGTCCCGAGGCCCGCTGTCAAGACTGTGGCAAAGTCTTTAAGTATAATCACTTTTTAGCCATCCACCAGAGGCGCCACACTGGTAACTACACTTTCCAAACTTATGCACCTCATTGGGAAATTGGGGATTGTCATGACAGTATTTAATAATTGTTCCATTTCTGCATGATAGGCATTGCAGTAAAGCCTTCGTAGGTGCTACTGTGTTTAGTTCTCAGTAATCTCACAGCAGGTAACGTCCGCAGTGTACAGATGAGAGGGTCTTAGAGCAGACTCGGCCATGCCACGATGACCCAGCAAGCCTGATCCAGAGCAGAGCCCTGGGTTTTGTTTTCTTTACTTATCAAGTTATCCAGCGCCTCCTGCCCTTTGATTTGTGAGTGTTCCCCATCTTTGCAGAAGCATTCTCTTGCCGTTCTTTAGACATCTTTATAGTTTAGCCATCTTGTGAAGATTTTTCCTCTTTTGGGTGCCTCTGAGTCAGCATTGGCATTAGTCCCCTTGTCATTGAAATGTCCTCTCCACCTGACCAATATGGCAGCCACTGACAACATGGAGACCTTTTCTCCTCTTTTACAGTCCCAGGGATGGAACCCAGGGTTTAGGTGCGTGCCAAGAAGCGTTTTACAGCCAAGCTGTATCCCAGCCCAACATAGAAATTTTATCACTTGAATTTAGGTAGCAAGACTGAGAAACTGAATTTTAATTTTGTTTCATAACCATGTATGTCTTATGGCTAACATATTGGACGATGTATCTCTAGCAGAACTCCTCAAGCAGTTTATTGAGCTGTTTAATTTGCCCTGTTTCAGGTCAGGTTGTAATTGTCACTTGTAAGCCTCCGTATATGTACACGGGCTAGTGTTTAGTTTTGCTGTCATGTGACCTAGCAGCACCTGCTGCTGTGTTTCTGAGCCTGCTCATTAGAACCACCTAGAACTTCTGCAGCTACCTGTGGCCCACACCCAGGCTTCTGGTATTTCTCTGGATTAGCCATGTTTGAAGTTTCCCAGAGATGTAGCTGTCACCAGAGTGACTGTACTGGCGTCACTCCCCAGCCAACACCACAGAAGCGGGGCAAGGTGACATGTATGATCCCAGCACTCCAGAAGTGGAGACAGGAGGATCTCAAGTTCAGGAGCATACTTGGCTGCAAGGTGAGCCAGGGATATGTGAGGTGCTCTCTCGATAAAGAAATCCCCTCAGAGATTCTGTATGGTGAGAACCTGAATTAGGGCACTATGGACAGAACAAAATCCCGACTATGTGTTGAACTGTGGTGGGTTCTATTTTATTTTCTAATGGGCTCTGTAACTAATGGATGCAAATACTAGAGTGTTTGTTCAAACTGTGAATAATTTAAAGTACTTTGTTGTTCAGTAAGACAGCACGTAGAGTCTTTCCTTCACTCCCCCTGAAATGCTGCACTCAGCCTGTGTGTGCATGTTTTCTCCTTTGCTTTACTTATCACCAGGATTTTGTCCCCAGTGTTTCTTTTCCAGTCCAGAACTCCTGCTGTCTTAATTTCCTAGACATGACTTGTAATTTCCTTATTATTCACCTGTACTTTTCATCTTTGCTTTAGTTTCTGAGAGATTGCCACTGTACTTATAAGCCTCTAGGTTTGCTATTTCTACATTTTTGTTTGGTTTTTAGAAACTTAAATTTTTCTTTTCAAGAGCCCCAAGCCAAGGCCTTTTACTTCCTTGGACAGTTGCTCTACACCTAAACTAAATCCCCAGCCCCAATAAATTGTTGTGTTGGTTTGAGACATGATCTCATTATGTAGCCTGGCTGTCCTTGAAATCCTGATCTTCCTGCCTCAGCTTCCCAATGCTGGTATTACAGATGTGTGCTGCTGTGCCCAGTGTCCCTGATACCTTCTGTGCATTGCCGGTTTCCTTATCTGCTGTGGAGTCTGTCTTCACTAGCAGAGACTTCCCTTGACTGTAGTATAAGGATCGGTTTTTCTTTATGTGTATGAGGGTTTCCCTACATGTATGTGTGTATGTGCACCATGCGAATGCCTAGTACCCAGGGAGACCAGAAGAGAGTGTCAGTCAGATTCCCTGGAACTGGAGTTTCTGGTGGTTGGGTGTCACTCTGTGGGTGCTGGGAACCCAGCTAGAGTCCTCTGTAAGAGCAGAGCCACTCTCCAGCCCGAAATGTAGTGATTTTTTTTTAACCTCTAATAATATGCAAGATCAGGGCACTAAAAGCTATTGGTATTTCTGTGAATATGAAGGCTAGGTTTTAAAAGTTAGGTTGCATCCATCTCATGGCTTCTACCTGTTGGTTTTGATTTCATCTGTTCTACTTTCTAGACCTTTATTATTTTATTCTAGCTCACCTATCCACTGGACTTGAGGTGTTTGCCCTAAATATTTAACAGTATGAATGATTCTATATTGCATATTTTAATTTGGGAGGAAGAGAAGAGTGCACAGGTCCTTATTTATACCATGTTTCTTGGCTTTGATCGCAGGGGAACGACCATTCAAATGTAACGAGTGTGGAAAGGGCTTTGCCCAGAAGCACTCCTTGCAGGTCCACAGCAGGATGCATACGGGGGAGCGGCCGTACACCTGTACTGTGTGCAGCAAGGCACTGACCACCAAGCACTCACTGCTGGAGCACATGAGCCTGCACTCAGGTACTGGGACTTGCACTGGGACTTGCACTAGAACCTGGACTTGCACCAGGTTCCTATTTCCTGGGGTGGCATTTCTAGCATACATCTAAATGGTGTTTTTGCAGCCTGGTGTCATTTCCCACACAGTGCCATTGAAAGACAGGATTGTGCATGTGTTGATGTGCTGTTCTGAACGACACCAGCCTCCAGCTAGAACTTATTAACTGGCCGCTGCAGTGCAATATACATTTAAATGTGTTTTACTTCAACACTAGAGTTTAGAATTCTCTGTGTGAAAACCACTTACAGCCTGCAGTTCTACCCCAGGCTCCACTTCCCCCTATGGCCTTGCATAATTTTGCACACACTGGAAAGGCTTCTTCTGGGTACCTAGACAAGATACTCATATCACTTGTAGAAAATGGGAACTTGGGCACTGTGTTATTGAACTTCTTCATGAGCATTCTAATTCTCTGCAGTTTGGGCATGGTTTAAGTGGTTTTTATTCTTTATTTGGCAGGGCAGAAGTCTTTTACCTGTGATCAGTGTGGAAAATATTTCAGCCAGAAAAGACAGCTAAAGAGTCATTATCGAGTCCATACAGGTACGATACCAATAAGGTGAGAAAAGTTTTGCATCGCTGGGGAAGAAGTGCAGATACAAAGTATTTGTGAAACAGTAGGTTCATCTTACAGAATGAATGAAAGAATTGGAAAAAACAGGCTAGGAATGCAGCTCGTTTAGTAGAGAGCTTGCCTAGTATGAATGAAGCCCTGGGTTCCATCCTCAGTATCACATAAAACTAGGCATGTGAGCACACATCTGTTATCCTAGCACTTGAGATGTGGAGGCAAGAGGGTCAGAAGTTCAAAATCACCCTCAGGTATGTAGTGAGTTTAAGGCCTGGGATACCTGAAACTAGCTATAAAAGAAAGAAAAGAAAAGTCAGCGGTTGTAGTGTTGTTCTCCACCAGGTAAGACTCAATTTAACGTTTGCACCATAATTTTGGAACCATACATAGAACCACCACCACAGAACTGCTGTATCCCAGAGTGCTGCTTGCTCAAGAGGCTTCAGTTAGTTGGCTGTTAGTAGTGGCATCCAGAAAGGGATGTCTCACCCATGGCTTCTGATTGCTAAAGGTTCTATTCTTCCTGCCCCTGATGAGAAATGAAATGGGGTGGGCATCACTCAAGCTCAGCCGCCCAGTCCCTCTGGTGTTCGAAGAGAAGGGTATTTAGAAGGGCACTGGGGTAATAAAGTTTATTGTTGTTGGAAAGTGCCATATTTACAGTGATTATTTTTCAGGGAAGCGCTTTAAAAGAAATCACTGAAGAAATGCAGGGAGAGCATGCATGCACTGACACTTTTTTTATTGTTGCGGCAAGGCCACTCACTACCAGAATGCAGCCACTGCCATCGAAAATTCATGGATGTGTCTCAGCTAAAGAAACATCTGCGAACGCACACAGGTAACACGCCTCTCTTTCAAGGCTCCCTGCTGCATGCCGTGTTCGCCGCCTGGGCTTGGTATGCTTATTGCCTGTGCGGTGCATCGTAAGTTTTATAAAAGTCCAAAGTGAAGGCAAAGTGCTGTAAGCCAGCACAAAATGCTATGGCCACTGTTGTGTGGGGACATTACATCCCGCTGTGAGTCGGCACAAAATGGAAATTGCCTGACGAATGCTGTTCGTGTGTGAGAATTCATGTCATTCCACAGCATAGTGTCGGTCTCGGTCTGGCTCCGTGTCACTCTGTTACTTCAACACAATAAATGGTTTAGAAAAGAAAGCATACACCAGACACGAAGGTAGACACAGGGTTCCTCTCTGTCCTCTGGAGCCAGCGCTCAGCTATGAAATTGCTACCTCCCAAAGAGGTAGGAATGAGAAGGCAGCATTGTTGGGGCAGGTAGGGTTTTTGTTTTGTTTTTTTCCATTTTAAGTTCATTGGAGTAAAACTGTCCATCTTGGACCTTTTGGAAGGGATATGGGTTAAAAATAAGCCTGTTGGATTTTTCTAAGAAACAGTTTCTGTTAAGGTAGATTATTTAATGATTCTGTCAAGTTGTCTACTAATACTGTATAGGCAGATCTCTGAGATCTGACCAGCCTGGTCTATGGAGTGAGTTCCAGGATAGCCAAGGCCATACACAGAAACCCTGGCTCAAAAGACAAAAGCAAACACACACAAGAATTGTTTAGCTTTTGGCACCTCGATTTTTTTTTAATGCAGGTTGGTAATTTCCTAACTTGAAGAAAACCTAAATATTATTATCCAAGTGTCTGGGACCAGAAACTCCCAAAACCCCAAAATGTTCCAAATCCCAAACTTTTTAAGTGTCAATGTGATGCAACAGTGGAAAGTACCACACCTGTCCTCATGGGATAGAACATAATCAAAATTTAGGTGCACCAGAGATACTGTCTAAAATTTTCACCAGACTATGTGGAGGAAGTTTATATATAAAACATAATGAATTTTGTGTGTAGATTTGATCCCATCTCTAAAATGTGTGTGTATGTGTGTGAAAGAGAGAAAGAGACAGGGAGAGAGAACAAGAGAGAAAATTTTCTAAAATCTGAAAAAAAAACTGTGTTGTTTCTGATTCCCAGCAATTTTGAGATTTATTTGTTTTTATTTTACATGTAAGTGTGGTTTGCCTGCATTTATGTGTGTGTGCCACATGCACGAAATACTCCTAGAGACCAGAAGTTGTTAGCCATGTGGGTCCTGGCTCCTTTGAAAGAACAGTCACTGTTTTTACTCACTGAGCAATCTCTCCAGACCCCTAAGCACTTAGGAAATTGTCTTATAAGGGGTGACTTTTATGAAAGTCTCTGTACGTTCTTAATTTTTTACAGTATGTGTATATGTCCATCCATGTGCACACAGGTGCCAAACATATATGTGTAAGTCCGAGGACAGCTTGTTGGAGTCAGTTTCCCCCACCATGTGGGTCTTGGGTATCAGACTTGGTGTTGGTGTCGTCACCTCCGAGCATCTCGGTGGCTCCTTCACTTCCATAGGCTTTCTCACTAGTACAGCCTGTGGACTGTAATGCAGCCATTCACTGCATGTTTACTGACCATTTGCTGAGTACCAGGCTCTGTTTTAGGCCAAAGGACAGATAAAGAGATGTCTAAGTCCCTGCTGGTGTGACATCAGCGTTTGAGAAGGGAGGCCCAGACAAACAGATAGGTAGCATATCCATGATGCATGGAAATTAGATATGGCGCAGGAAAGCAGGTATGGGAAGAGGTGCCTCTCTCTGGGTGGGCCTGTCCCGGGGATGGGAGCCGCTTGAGTGTGCTGTGGGGAGACAGCAGTACAAAGCCCTCAGACGGGGTGCTAGGAGAAGGATGCTTGGGTAGACCACAGGGACAACAGGGCCATGTAGCAAAGTTTATTTGTTTATAGCTGCACATTTCAAACATTTGTGAAACTTTAAAACAACCTGGGTAGTGGTGGCACACAACTTTAATCCCAGCACTCGGGAGGCAGAGGGAGGCAGGCAGATCTCTGTGAGTTCGAGGCCAGCCTGGTCTACAGAGCAAGTTCCAGGACAGGCTCCAAAGCTACAAAGAAACCTTGTC